GCTTAGGCAAGAGGAATAACACTGGTATGTTAGCCATTTGTGAATGTGTCAATGAATTGATGATACGTCTCACTGATGTTAAACCTCATGATGAATTTGTGAATTTAGCGATCAAAATTTATTTGCGATAAGATCGAGAAAAGGAAATGAAATAAATGAATATCAAGACGGTGAAGTAGTGATGAGGAGGTATCAACAAATATTATAAATCAAAATCAGCGATATCCACTTGTTGCAATCATCACTGGAGTGGGTATATGTGTTACTCACACCACTGTAATGCTTCTTCATTCTTCACTCAAACTCAGCTCATCAACTAAACAACAGCTACTCGTCGAAATCTGAATGAGATTAGTACCATCCTTACTTGAGTTCATTTCAGAAATGTTGCTTCAAGTTAGCTGCTTGCAATTAGTGCTACTTATGTTGATTCTTATTCACTGCTATAGCGTCGTATCTTCTTACTAGCATTTCTTTCTAATTCTAGTAGTGAGAAGATTATTACCAATTCGAGAAATAGTAAATAACCGTAGAAAATAGTACTGAAATGATTGATGTTGAAGCAAGCATTGATTTTTGGTTATTAAATTGAATGGATGTGTGAGTGTTGAGTGAGGTTGCTAGCCTTAACAATGGCTAATTTTGACGATCCCGTTGCTGTCTTTTCGTTATTCCACTTGTTGCTTTTTAACTTGCCTTCATCGCCATCTCAACTTATCTCGTATGTCACACAGCTCAACGCTTTGTTCTTAGTTATGCATTTCTTTCTGCGTTTTTTTTTTTTTTTTTGAAAGCACGTTTGACGTTTATAGACAAGTTTTTTAAGCATAATCAACTGAATAAAGAAAGTTTTTTTGAGATCGTCGATTAATGCTACTATCTTACGTCTCGCGTCTATCCTTTTGCTTTGGTTTTATCAAACACGTTCACGTACCATAAATTACATATGATTTGTGATTAGCAAAATGAACAATATGCTTTGGAATTCGAAGTGATTCCCGGTTCTTTTCTAACACTCTCTTTGCCACTTATTTTTTCGCTCTCTATTTCGACTTCTGAAGATACGATATAAAAAATATTTCATAGCGAATGTGTATGTGCATATGTAGGTAGCTGCACGGTATGCATCTATAATCTGTATGTTATAATCGTGCACATGTTCAAAACTGATTTAAGTCGCATGTGATAAAGGGCTGTTTTAATGGTTAGATAGATAATTCGATTGCTGCAATCAGAAACCTTGTACCAATAACAATAACGTCGAATTCCTCAATGCTTTACAACTTCAGTCTCGAAATTTTCATATGTTCTGTGAGATAGGCACAGTTTCACGAATGGTTGTATTGAACATCTCAGATTCATCGTATTTCGTCTGATCATCTAATTTTATTGTTCACGTTTCATTGTTCACTAAAGCCTCATCTTTCTACTGATATCATGAATATGCAAGCATTTGTATTTATCACATCTTTCTTCCTGCAAATCATTTTTCATCGAGAAATTTTCGTGTGTAATTCAAACAGCAAATCGATGTCAGTCATTTTCTAGCTATTGCCGTGAACGAGGAAAGAAAACTTCATTTCATAATGGATTCTCTATTAGTCGATCCGATAAGCTGATAACTTCGAAGGATTTTCAAACAGTTGCATCGAAATGAATCAGAATTAATATTCTGATTCATTTCGCTGCAACTGATTCCTCTCAAAGAGTGCTCCTTTCGGAAAAAAAAAAGTATGGTTGGCATAAAGTAATTGAAAATATCACTCAGACTCTATTTTTATAATTGACCTCATCTTCCTTGTAAACCGATTATGGACATTGCTTTCTAGGAAATCTCTCTATTAAATCTGATGCATTCAAATGCTTTATCGAATCTATGCTCGTAGAGGAACAATATGAAACACAGCTGAAAGCAAAGACCCTTCAATAAGCACCAAAACGGCTCGATAACCCCGTAAATGTTGTTCGTTTCATTTTATCCCGTTGAAATAAGAATATTTCTCTTTTTTTTGTCAGTGATCGATTCGTTTCAATAATTCAGTTCGGTGTTACTTCATTCCTTCAACATAGTTCGAAAAAGCATTTTGTGAATAACATCATGTGAAATAAATACTTACTCATTAAACGGATAGAAGTTGTTGAATTTCTGAGGTGGACACCGGCTTGCGTTTGTTTCTGTCAATAAATATGACTGCCAACGCTGTTGCAGCACTAGTTTGAGGTCATCACCAGCTGTAACAGAACAGGCTATTAACAAGCTAAGAGAAATTTTAATCAGCAGTTATTCGACCATTTTGAACGATTGTGCTTCTTCATATTTGACTGTTATGACCCCTTTTATTCCGGCATATTCAAATCATTGATTTACCTCAACAGATCGTTGAAAAAGCTTCACTGTTTGAAAGTATCCAGTACTCAACCTGCCGCACAGTTGAAAAAATCACTTCAGGGAGGCAGCAGCACAATTATTGTACTTCTGCTTTCGTATTGGTTATTTTTTGTTGCAATCGATAAAGATTCTGTTCTGTTTTGAACGGTGCAATAGAAAATTCTTTGATCATTGCGAATTTGATTGGAATGATCAGTGAATGTGGCAAGCGATAGTTTGATAGGTTTTACGTGCCATTTAAAATACTTGAAATCGTATAGGTCAAAAGAGTGAAAGGAAATGAGGATAAGAGTTAAATGATGATGTTACTTGTAGGTGATAAAAGCAATTTCTGAATCTGGTGTGAATACGATGTTTTTCCGTAAGTTTTTGTGGTGAATTGCTTTAAAAGTCAGAGACGAAAGCTAACATAACGAAAAAATAAGGATACTGAACGATTGGCGTTAAATAGATGGAGGAAGAGCAGCGGCAACTAATTCTCTGGAGTATTGGAGCAGTGATGTTCACGCAAGAAAATGCGCAAGAACATATCATATCGCACATCAATTCTTGATACATACCAGCTGCATATTGAACAGCACAGATATAGATTATCCCAGACAAATATACGCACAATTTGTCACTTTATTGAGGAGCATTCATTCTATTACTCATCTGCCTGATTGCTACAGTTTCTTTTTCAGATCATCCTTTTATGCATTTATTATCATTGTTATGCATATAGATGCGTAGATGCTGGTATTTTGATTTTGTACATACACAACCGTAAACAATTCTCGTATGAAAACCAAAGTGGGTGCTTCCAAATTTTCGATCTTTTCACTCACAATTGAGAAACCGATTTCAAAATGCACGTTATTTGAGTGATCAAGCATCCAAAATCAACCTCGACGCTCCTGGTCATCGGAAATGCTTCGTGCTATGAACATTGCAAAATCTCTTGCTGATGTTTTTGCACTGCTTCATTTCCAGCAGTATTTTTGTTGTCATCGATGTGCAAAATTTGTGAAGTCTGCATATTTTCCAGAGGAGCTGTTCATTTTTCTTGATTAGCATATTTAGAATAAAATGAACGTTATTCATCGTCAGTCAAGTAGATCACGCTTCATTGTTCAGTTATTGTTCGTTTTTTTCAACCATTCTGCTAGATAAGACATCATTATGATAATTGAAACCGCATCCTAGTAACACACTCTTTACCACTGAAAGATTATGGCCGGAAACAAAAAATGATGTGGCCTCTTGCGTGGTCCTCCGAAATTATTGATAGATCTGGTTGCTCTACTAGATTTACAACCAGATAACATCTTGTGCAACTTTTTAAGACTCAAATCACTATAAAGTTTGCATCTTAAATATGAATTGTTATAGCATAAGAGCGATGCAGCCATTATAATGATACCAATAAACAATTTCGTTATCGATAAAGCTAATGTGACTTTATCACAAGCGAGCAAAATAAAGCAATTCATTTGCATCCGTCATATCTTTGTTCCGTTATTACATTGTAGTGCATTGTAAAGATAAAGCATTTGTTTCGTTCGTGCATCCGTTGAGTTTTACTCGAATCAATTCTATTAACAAAGTGTATTCACATCATTCAACAATACACTGAGCATTGTCATTGTTTATTGTTGGTAAGTTGAAAGCGATTTCTTAAACTTTTTTTATGATAACAAAGTGCACTGTGACGACGAATTTAACAAATTGTTTAGGTGAATAATCACTGCACGCAGCCCACTTGATTATATTCAGTCGAGCAATAATTATTGCTTTACATAACAATGCAAAGCACCGCTTGAAGATAGCGACCTACATGAATCTTTTTAAAATATGCTTTATGAGCGTTAATCCATTGGCACTGGTTGTTCCAAGAAATAAGCATGTTCTGAGAGGAGAAGACGAAGCGAGGGGCTATTTAAGTTGATCACCTTACTGATAACAAATTGCACCTATGTTTGAGGTTGACTCACCATTGGTTAGGCTTTTGATTAATCATGGCCAGAGAATAGGTGCACTGCAGAATTAAATGCTAATTAATGCATACTTTGAGGCATCCTTTATCATCATTCACATTTTTGTGTTGCTTATTTTCTTGCGTACAAAAATTTTTCCTGTAGAATATTCATTAAAATTTGTCTACTGGTTGTACTCTTCTTGAGATCAATCCGAAGCATTCTCAGCCAACCAAAGAAGTTTGATTAAAGGCTATGTAATATTCTCCTGTCAAGGCTATAGCCGTCGCATTTCTTAATATATTACGGGGAATGAAAAAAGTCTGGGACGGGGACTTGTTTACATTTCCCGTTCTTGTTTCCGACTTTTTTTTAGAACGACCGTAATTTCAGCTGTAAAATTGCTCAGCTAATTTCAGCTAAAAAGCCTTTCCCAGTTACTGTTATTCAGCTTCGGCTAAATTTAGCAGAGTTCTAATAACCGTGACAATCTCAATTAGACAGAAGCGATTTCTTCAAGTACCTGCTCCTGGTTACATCGCAGAATTCGGTTGTGATAAATGCACTTACAAGTTACGAAGAATTCATTCATCAACGACCTACGCAACGCAACTTTTAAATATTTTCCAGTCTAACAGATTGGTGTTAAGGGAGAAATGAGGTGGCTGTTGGTGTGGACCGTGATTACGATTAGAATTCAAGCACAGCCGAAACAACGTATCGCTGAAGGTCCAAGCGATACTAGTGTAAGACTTGGCGAAACCGTTGTGCTTAATTGTCGAGTTGAAGCACAGGTGCTTTTCCACTTATTCCATTACTTTCGTTACATTCCCATGGATCATCGTTGCTTAATAGAAAATTAGGTGACTCAGTACCTCTGGGCATTATTATTCTCACAAATTGAGATAGTAATAATATCAATTGAAGGGCAATGATTGGAGAATGATTGTTTTCAGCAAGGAGCCGTGCAGTGGGTGAAGAATGGATTTGGTCTTGGGAACGACAGGCAGTTGTCAGCGTTTAAACGATACAGTATGGAAGGAAGTACGAGTAAAGGCGAATATAATTTGCGTATATCCGATGTTGATATTGAAGATGACGACGTTTATGAGTGTCAGATTCAGGCAGCTGGCAATAATCCATCGCGTATTTCTAATGCTGCTAAACTGAATGTTTTAGGTGCGTTTGTATGCTTTTCGGCAGTATGCAATCTGCAACTTTCATCGCTTACGAAGATGCACAAATGAATTTTATGCAACAATGTCGAGATATAATGTAAAATCCGTAATGAGGAAATTTGTATCATGTTACTGAATTATTTTATAATTAGTTGAAGTGAATTCATTCTTACTGAATTCAATTCATTTGAACTGGATTCAACGTGTTACTGAATTTAATTGAATTTTTGCAAACTGAACCACAGAGTTTCTTTGAATTCAAGTTGATGAGTTAGGGTGATAGCGAAATGCAAACGTGAAAGAAATGATTTCTGTATCGAAAAGAGATTAGCATTCAATTGGACCGAGAAGAGATTAGCATCGATGCAGATTTCTATTTCATCAAGTAACAAAAATATTCCTTGTCATAATTCGAGGGGATTTATGTGGAATAGAGCATTCAGTTCCCATCAGCAATTCACTGAATGAATTTTTACTGAGTGATACAACTTTAAGTTGAACCTCAGCCACCAAAATTGCAATCTGGAGGATCGGTGTTAAAAGCGACGGCCGGTCAACTTCTACAACAATCATGTGTAAGTGAACGAGGAAAACCACCTGCGGATGTTCGTTGGGCTATCACTGACGATGCAGCAGCAACAAAAGTGCTCGAATGGTTGGACGATACAAGCCAAAATGTGAATAAAGGTCTTGTTTTAAATCCTTACTTTCTTCACCTAAAATCATTGTTGCAATCCCTTGTTCCAGTTCCATCAATTCATACATGAGCAGCAGTTATTAGTTAAGTCGTTATGGGTGCAGTTTGCTTATAAAACTTAAAAATAGACTGATCGTAGCGTTTTTTAAGGTAGCTCGCTTCGTAATCCGAAGAAGGTTCGTATTACGGAAGAGGTGCGTCGAACAGATGAACGCACCTATACAGTCATCAACAACATCACGTTTGTTTTTAAATCATCTAGCAACAAAAGTTTCATAAATTGTCCATATGTTTAGAGTTATTTCATGCTGACATATTTGATTGAATCGTGAATGCACCGATTACTTGCACGTTTCTTTATGAGCACAAAGGTTGTGAAGTTAACGACAACTGTTGTCATTTCATTCATTCTGCTAATAACCAACAAGCATTACCAATCACGTAATAACGTTCGCCATTATTATATCCTCTATTGTATGTTCATGTGCATCTTATCGAGTGTAGCATTCATCTAATGTGAGGGATGACGATGTTTTATTTGTATGCATCAATCACGACGCTTCCTGAAAACGATTTTGTTTAGGCTTCTTCCATCCTTAATTGCAGTCAATATCTGACACTCCATTCAAAGAAATTAGCTTTCGTTGACATACTTCTTCATCTCTTTCAAATAACGCATGCTTGTTCATTTACGAAAGGACGATTGCGATCTTATCGTCTAAAACAGTTCTTAGTCAAATTTTTTGGAATACCTCAAAGATTAGAGAATAATTGGCACTAATTTTTTGGGATATTAATAGTTAACTCAATCCGTTTCATCTTCTTTTTTTTTCACTACAATCGTTACAACATGGTTTGCAAATTCACTGAGAAGTAATAGTCTAATGTGAGGGATTTTTTAAAAGTCAATTTTTTCAGTTTTACGCCACGATCCGAAGATGATCAGAAACATTTGGCATGTATCGTTACACACGAAACGTATCCTTCAATGAAATCTCAGAGTGTTTTGCTTGAATTGAATTACGCACCAAAACTTGAAATCAAATTAGATAATACATCAGTTTTACGTGAACACGGCTCAGCGATGCTTTCATGTAACGTTCAAGCAAAACCTTTCGAGAATGTTGAAATTATTTGGTATCGTAATGGAAGGGCGATAAGCTCTGCAAAAACTGACGTGAGTGATTGTTGTTGAGGACTGTATTGCGTGCCTTATAGAAAGGCCTTTGATCATGATCGTCTTATAATCAATGTGGAACATAATATCAAGTTACACGGGTTTTGACGTGAACTCCTTGCATTCCACAAACGCAAAAAAATTTTGCATTCCATTTTTTGACAATTCAACAACTTTTCCAACTTTAATTTCGAATGATACATCGAAATGAATATCATCCTCTATATGAAGATTGATTCTTTGATTAATAAATCGTTGAATATTCTCACTTTGGTTATATTTTTCAGACACTATCATTTTCCGATTTGCAAATTGATCATCACCAGTCACAGTATGTGTGTTTAGCGAGGAATTCGATCGGTGAATCATCAGCATCGTACATTTTCAACATTTCTTGTATGTTCATTGAAGAACTACTTGTGAAATTTAAGCATATTACACGCGCATCAACTGAACAGTTGCATTAATTCGAGCATTTTTAATGCGTTTATCAAATATCAAAAAATATTTTTAGCAAAGAACACCTTCCCCAGCAGCACGTTGTGAACACGCTGATAAAAATTTCTGTTTGAACGCCATCATTTTGTGAGATTGCGTAATGACCTTTATGGCTTGCCTTATTCAATTAAGTCGGCTAAACTGAAAAAGACTTTGGATGTAGTTTAATTAGGCCTAAAATTCAGCAGGCTTATTTGAGCTCAGAATCAAATAAGCTTACCATCATCCTTAAACTACAACAAAAAATGATCGAAAAGAAAGTACAGTAACGATGCAAGTATCGCTTTTTTAACTGAAATTTTCCGTCTAGCTAACCGCAGTTTATGAGGACTTATTCAAACAGCTATATGTAAAGTGCGATTTATCGTTCATTCAATGCGCGAAATTCATTTTGTTTCTAGATGGAGCGCATATTACGTCAGTGGAACAGCATCAAGCAGTCAGTCCTGGGGAAGATGCATTCTTTCATTGTGAGGCGATTGGCAATCCAAAACCATCAGTAAATTGGGTAAAAGTTGGTGACAATCAAACTTTGGCTCGCGGCAACAAGTTTGTTTATTCTTTTTTTTCCTTGTTCTTTCCAAACAAGTGTTATACGATTCAAAAGTTTGATTAGAATTCTTTATAACTGTAGCGTTCACTTACTGAATGACTTCTTGCTTACTTACTCATTATAGTTTTACAATCCGATCAGTGCAGAGCTGGCATAGAGGTGAATACGATTGCATTGCCAAAGTTGACGGTTTTCCTCCGGCTGTCCTCACTAATTATTTGCACATTCGTGGTGCACCCTCAGTGAGCCTCACCGAAGAGATCGTTGCGGGTGTCGGTGAAAGTGTTGAAATAATGTGTGAGGTGCGTNTGATTTATTAAATGATGCATCTTTATACGAAAATTTTTTCATTCATTCAAATATATTCACCTTCTCGAATGCGCTATTAGTTGTTTTTATCAGCGATAAAGTAATTATTTTTATTGGACGATATTTTATTTATTGTGGAGAATTATGTCATGCACTAACCTCCATCGCATTTGCCGTAAACTGCTACCGTAGATATATTTTATTTGCTAAAATCGACTGATAGAACAGAACAACAGAGTTCGCTTTGAGAATACAATAGGATTGCTCCAGAAGAAGGAAAGTTCGTGGACAAAGAATTATTCTCGACGACGAATCATGTCGGAATCTCTATACGGTCAATTGTTCCTGATGCTCACCCGGTTGAATTAATATGAAACAATGAAATAAAATTACAGGTACGCGGCCGCCCACAACCAAAGGATGTCTTATGGTTACTTGATGGAATACCTCTCGAATATGGTCGTCCAGGAGGCCGAATACAGGTAACCAATGCATAGTTGGCCAATTAGTGATGTTTCTGTCGCAGTCAAACTGTTCTANAGCTAAAGATGTGTGGAACAAAAACATTACTAGTTGAATTAGTCTATGATTCATCAAAGACCCGTTCTTTTAAACGATCAAAATTCTGTTACTTTTATTTCCATGCTCCTTTGTGGGCAATGGAAGATGGCGTAAGAATACTACCATCTTGTAGGTGCACCAAGTGCCGAGACAATTTGGCGTCGAAAGTAAACTCATCATACAGAGTTTAAAAGAAATCGATTTTGGAGTTTATAATTGCACGGCAATTAACGAGTTTGGTCAGGATTTCCAAACGATGCAACTGATGAAGAAAAGTGTCGTTGATGTGATGATCAGTGAGTACAAAAATATTTGCATTCATTTTCTTCTGTTGTGAGAATTTCATCATATTCCTGTAATTCACCGATAATGAACGTGTTTATGTGAAGCGATTAGTTATGAATTCGTTTGAAAATGAACAAATATGAGATCACATAAACGGTATATTGGTAATTATTGTTGATTTCTGATGCTTATTGGATCAGAAGAAAATGTTTTGAGATTACCCCATCATTAGATTACCCCAAATAATCTTAAGTAAACTCAAATACTCAGTTCATTGATGAATTTTGTTCATCTTACGTGGATTGAAAACCTAACTGAATTGTTTCTAACGTATGCAGGGATTTCGATAGCTCTCAATTTTAATAACTGACGACGTTTGAGGATTATTCTGCAACTCCTAGACGAAATTCGACCATAAGGCGCGTACATTTTAGAGAGATTTTACTGAAAGAAGTAGAGATTGGAATTGCAGCGAAATGTCGAATTGTAGGATGGCCGATATTTTAGTTACACCTTATGGCAAGCAGTTCGTTATTGGTGCATTTTCAGAAGTGCTACCCTGGACCTATGCTGTACCAGTTGCTTTGCTTCTATTTGCGCTATTTCTTTTGATCGTTTGTTGTATGTTATGGAGGTGCTGTCGGAAGAAGTATAAAAAAGCAACAAGATTCAATGGTAGTTGATCACATTTTGTAAATAATATATTTGTTCATGGAATTATCAAAAATATCGCATATTGTAAAATTGAAAAATATTTTTATGAGCTCATATCATACTGTAAAGTACTAATGTGTTATCCTCTTGAGCAGTATTGATGAAAATATCTAAGTTATTCAACAACTCTGTTCTAAGACGTCAATTATTGCATTAAATGCTTGATGTCTATTCGCAGTCTTAAAGCGATCCTCGTTTCTGTTGCAGATGAACAAATGGACGTGACAGTTAAGTGCGAGGCACTGGATGGCGTTCAGTACTTTCCTGAGATGTACACTTCACCAGCACTCGAAAACCCTGAGTTAATGTGCACTAAGGTAATTAGCTCTGGTCAAATAGATGCACAAAAGACGTTTCTGTCGCATTTTATTGCTGCAAACTGTAGCTGACAGTGAGTGCCAGAAGTGTCAATAAGTGTTTCATCGGCCTATTTTTATTCATTCTCGTTCATGCCTATCCTCCTCATCGCTTATTATTAGAAAATTTTATTTCGAGTTTCAAACTGAATTGAGTTTAGAATTGCAAACATTTGATTGTAATGATTTCATGATCTCAAATTTCATGATTTCCCATGAAATTCAGTGAGATGAATCATCTTAAACTGTATATTCTCTTACAATTAGCATGAGGTGATTATTCTTAATTGACTACGGTATTTTGTCAGGACTATGTGCCTATTCCACAGAACAATCCCGACCTCGATTACCTACCTCCACCGGCATTTGTTGGTAACATCTATCAACCGTATTTCAATCAGCCTGTCGAATGTGCCTTCGATCATCCAAATGCTCGTTTCGAACCTTCATACGGCAGCTTCACTTCGGGTATGAGCACACCGGCAGGAGCGACACTTTGCGATATGTATGCCTGCAACTCCTCACGAGTCGAGGTATTCATTCTCTTCTCATCCGGTCTGTACATATAGAAATAATGTGGTTCCAAGTTTATGTTCTAAAACAGACCTATTTTCTCTTTATCAGTTCGATTATCGATCATTTGATCACCTCTCGATTATCAAAAATAATGATTATAATATTTCCGAAGGAGTGGTTAGACCGTGCTTTCAAAAGCCCAATTTTTTTGACAGTTTTCAAAAGATTAAACTCAACGTGGATCAAATTTAGCTGATATGTCTTCGTCGCTTTTATCAATTACCAAAGCTACAGCTTGGGGTTTCATGGATGTATGATGATCGAATCGTTACTGTAATCGCGATATTATTTTTATAGGGGCCACCATTAGAGACTCTAACAGAATTAGCGACACCGGATATGGAAAGTGGTATGCCGTTATTACCGAACGGAGTACGTCTTCATGAACGACCAATGAGCCGAACGTCAACTCACGTCTGAAATGATGGTCTGTTTATGTTGATAATTATACAGTCCGTTCATATGAATTCATCAGCGCATTTCAAACCGTGAATACTGACTCAACTGAAAGCAGTCAGCTCACTTCAGGTGAATCGTATTCCGTATCGATTATTCGTTTGTTGCGCGATAAAACAATCGATCGATGTATCATCCATGCAGATGACCAAGGTGATCGATTATTCCAAGCGGGTAAAATCATGCTAAGCGTGAACAGGCTATGCATATTGTCGGCGAATACTTGAATGAATGAACGAATTCATTACGCATTTCATATTCTGGGTTTAAATAATGCCAGTCTTTCTGACTGGGCATTCGTCATCTGCTTCGCAATCATCAAATTCGAAATAGCTCGGTCGGTTTCCATCTGAAAACACCGCAATTTGTTGTCCAAACCCGTCGTAGACCACCCATATTTTCATCCCAAATATTTCATTCATTCAATGCGAAGTGATCCGTTTGTTTCGGATAATATTGATAGTACTTGTTGTTGGGGCACATTCACATTTTTTTCACTTATGCTTGCGTAAATGATTTATAAAGACAATATATACTTTACTGAACTCTCTAAATGCTGATTTGATCACTACATTTGATTTTTTCCTTAATTGTGTAAAATATTACTGATCATCATTCAACTTAACGATTCGTTGTTTGTCACAGTACACAAATGAGCAGTGAATTGTCTCACAAGAAAAATATCCGAAAGAAAACCATGTATTCACTCGTTTTTCTCTGTTCTGCACTTCCATAAGTGTATCATTTCGTAGGGTATGAGAATGACTTTTCACGTTGAATGCACAATTTCAAATCAGTGAATTTCCAGTCATTTCTCTCAAGTACCTCTTTGTTACTAGCCCATTTTAGAGGAATTCCTTCGATTTTTAACGCCCTTTCATTGTTGCCTCACATTCAGATTGCGATGTTACAACGTTGAGAATGATTGTCACTCATTTGAATCAATTTGAATCTTTAAGCGAATGATGACGTTTCCATGACTTAAATTCCTCCTCTCAATTTGATTTTATGAATGTTCCATAGGAAAATGCTCAAAAAATATTTCCAAATGATGGCACAAAGGACAGAAAGTACATCACTCACAATTACTTTAAATTGTTTTTGACTTGTGATAAACAGAATAATGCTTAAGTGTTGTTTTCCCTCGACTTGATTTTGTTCTCCAATTAAATTTTCATTAAGTGCCATTTATTTATTTGATAATTTCGTCATTGTTTCATTTATGTATGTATATTAGTGAAATCATACGTTTGATAGCCATTTTTTATGTATATCAGAATGCTTCCATCATACAAATGTTGCAATTTGGTAAAAAGTGTACATATGAAAACGATAAGTGAATATATATGTACAGATTTATAAAACAAATATGTGATCCTCAATTTCTGATGCACGCAATAATAAACTTTACAATAAAACGCTTTGTGACAACAATTGTGAAGCAGTTCCAACTAAATGAACAGATTTATTCAACTTATATGCTAACTGCGCCTTTCGAATCCATGTTCGACAATCACTTCTATGCGCTGATGTTGGAAACGGGAAGAACCAGAACGTCCCTCTTTCTTGGCGATACCTCCATTTTCCTGGAGGAAGGGGTGATTCTGGTAGGATTCCTCCAGTTCTCAGTCAGTTCAAAATCATCAATCCGCAACAAAATTAACTTGGGTTACAGTTTACTGTTAAGATGTAGTCCAAACGAGTATACCAAAGAAACTTTTATATCAGTAGGACTGATCGCATAAGATTTAATTACAATACGAATATGATCGTTCAACAAAGAATACAATGAAACAATTCTACGATGAAATGACTGCAAATAAAATAATTATCGCTTAGATCAAGACATTTGATGCACTTGAAGACTCATAGACAAAGAAGAAACGTCTTTATTACAACAAGTCATGAAAAAGCATTCGTTTGTTACTCAATTTTCCAGAAAACAATCAAATGTACAAGTGGAAGAGAGGAAACTGAATTTGAAACGGTACTTTAAATGCACGACCGTTTGAATTATTCGCGATACGCATAACTAACCTACAACGGAGAAGTGAAGTTCACTCATATAGGAAAACTGGCGAAAATATTACATTTCTTGGTTCACATCATTAACAACGTCAAAACTGCATTAATACCACACAGCACTCGTTGGCAAATTACAATGAAGTTAGACGACTGCACTCAGTTAATTTCGGTAAAATGCAAAATTAATATTATACAAATGTTTGCTGTTCAGTTTGTTTGAACGAGAACACGTAATCATTTCAGATCATCACATTAAAAAAGCATCAATCTCAGCTGCGTTAAATCAAATTTAGCTTACAATCACTTGTTGATTTCTTCTTTAGCACAGTTTGTATCCTCACAAATAGCCTGATATTTGAAAAAGCGTCAATGAAGTTTCATGAGAACGGTTCACCAAAAAAGATCAGAGGTTCTCGATGAAATTTGTCCTATATGTATGTAAAGTATGCATATGAACGGCATATACATAGACTGCGATAATACAGCGATACATAATAAAATATATTGTACTCGACATTTACAATAATCAATCACAAAGATACTGATTAATAGGAAAAGAAACGAAGAACGAGATAAAGAACGAAAGAGGATAATAACCGACAATAAATAAACGTATAGCTTTCAAAGTTTATTGTTAGAACGGCATACTTTTTGGTATGAAAATTTTTGAGTTTTAATTTTAAAATATTGCAATAATAATTTTAGATCACAAGAAATTGATGTATTTGAAACAAGTCAAATACAGGCAGTTGTTATAACATTTACTCATCCTGTAATAACAGATATGTTTCAGTGAAATACGACTCTACTGCGATGCTCCGCATTGTCGATAGAAAACAATATTATACTCATCGAAGCTGCGTCCACGCTGGGATTCGCTCATATTGCACGATTCAGTACTATAACCGATTCGAAATCGATAAGCACTCTGCATATAATTACCAACTGATAATTCATAAACCTCATCGGTTATCTGCAAATTATTTTGATCGAAATTGAACAATTAACATTGACGAACGCAAGTAATACAATTTGAAACTTTGACGTGACCAATACAACAATGAGGTTCTCAAGAATTCCCCACTGAAATTTGACGAAAACTTACTTTACGCGAGACTGGACGGGTGCTAACTTCAGTTTTGATGGGCTCCTGATCGAACGTGCATGCTTTTTGATCAAAATCACGGAGACTACCACAGTTGTCGATGTAATTACCATTATCTTGCGTGCTAAACCGAAATCTTCGTTGGCTTCATAATCATAAGTAAGGCAAAAACAATAATCACAAAAGTTCAAAGGTATCACTGTTAAAGACATGTTCAAGCAATCACAGTTGCACAAAAGCTTTACCGATTCGAATGAAATGAGTTACGACACCTCATCAGCGAACAAAAGTGACTGATGAAGTCAGTGCCAAAGAAGGTCAACTTCACATTAATGTAAGAAGAAAGTCTCACTCGATACGAATTTCGATTGGAATCGCCGGCATGAAAGGTGAAATGGGAACGTAGAGCGTGTAAAGCCCACGACGCGGTTGACAACTGTTCTCGACGCAGTAACGTTCATCAAGCGTCATATTCAGCGTGATCACTTCAATATTTACACCAGACGGTAATGGCGAATGCGAACTAATCGTTGCACGACTGCTTCCACTGATAGGAATCAACGCTGTTAGGCGTTGCTCACGTAAACCAACCAACATATCGCCTTTCTACAAAGTGGAATAAAACTTTAAAAATTCTTGATCGCCTTCCTTGCTTTTCACAGTTAGTTCTTTCGCACACCTATCTTTAATTGAACCAACTTTGGCGCTAAAAAAGTTATGGCACAAAAAGAGTCGTCCAATAACACAAATTAATACGAGACAGTCATAGATAAATGGTCGAGAAAAAACGTCGACATTACAAGAAGTAATAAAAAAGATGATGACGAAATAAAAAAGATAAACGAATTTAACCTAAACCTGATATTTGGTATTAGCACTCCGATCATAATGATGCTGGCTACTCATACCGCTGCAGCAATATGTATGACAATGCTGATTCTCACACACAATTGCTAAGGGAGGCACATTTGGCTGTGATGGTGGTAGCCACAGATCTTTATTTACCTCGATGATATTCCCAATGTTACCAACAGTTTCCGGTGATGTGGTTGTCACTATCATTGGCATATCACGACGGTGATAACCGAACGTACGACTATGCCAATCCAGCACGTATAACGTTGACATTGCGATCAGGCTAGAAACATCACATAAAGTGATCATCGGCAATCAAGAAAATGTTTAAATTTAGAACTAATGTCAACGTTCACTTTTTCGAGTACAATGATCATGCAATAGATTTTTCTACTAAACAAAGAACGGGTGCTTCTTCACAAACGTATTTCTAAATCAATGATGATATCAATAACGATAATTACAAAAATAATAATTTTAGAGAAGTACAAATAATAAATAATTCTAGCATTGAAATGAGTAGAGAAGAGATGAATTATACCAGATTGCCATGACAACAACTAAAGTCACGATTGTTCCTTGAGTGAATCTTGAACTGCACAAAAGCGGTTCGCTTGTATGGCATGACGGATTTCGACAATGCCGATGCTTTCTATCATTCGCACGATCTTCTCTACAATGCTTCTTTATATAATATGAGCATATCATTGTGACACTAACATTATAACTATACATCAAATACGATGATGTGATTCAGATTGATTTAAAAACTAATCCATGTGCTTACATTTCTAGAAACGAATCAATAAATGCCTGTTCTAGTTTTTACTTTAAGAACCTTTCAGAAAAAAAACCGAATAACAGCAGGCAAGTTATTAGAATATTCAACCTGGATCGACATTTTTCTCGCGAATTACAAGATGGGGTAGTGGATGCGAGTGACAAATGCGACGACATGAAACTCGCTTTATCCGAGAAGCCAAGATCGCTGAGGCCACTTGCCATACTTCCAATATCCTTATTCAGACGACGTTTATGCAGTTTTGCCAATTTGTTTGATAGCTTCTCTACCGCTTCTATCTTGTGCTCCAAATTACCCGTTAGACGGCAGAGCTCAGTCGCTGCTGCGACTGTTTCATAGAATATACGTGAGTCATCAACCTAAACAATACTAATTCATTAAAACAACAACCATTTAGCAATAAACTCTCAATCGAAGAATGTCTTCGAGATGAAGAATAAACCTGTAAGAAATCGCCATTGTCAGTGACGGCATCCGGTAATATTTCTGCCAATTCTTGCGCTATGACGCCAACACGATGACGATTTTCTTCGGAAAGGCCCCATTGTAAAGCAATTTCTGGTTTGTATGAATATCCCACCACACGAATTTGTGCCAATCTTGACATTGCATCTTTGGTGTCAACCTGAATAAGCATTCAATTATACTATAAGTGATAATCAAAATACTCGTTCGAACGAACAAAAGCTCCTTATTAGAATATCGCAAACAAAGACTGCTGAACGATCGGATTCACTGAATAAGCTAACTCCTTCAATTCATCAATACAACATGGCAAGCAATTAACCTCATGAATTTCTTCTTTGACACGACGATCTGATGGTCGATGAACGACACCAGAGCAATAAATATCACCACCGACAGTGAGTGGTGCCATCGCGCGGTCCATGCCGATTGCTACCGAGCCATTGTTGTAGAAGAGTGTCGAGCCGTTCTTCTGCCACGCCACATCCGAATCTGGTGGTTCGAACTGTCCAGGATTTGATGCCTTAACCAATTGTAGGTAACTATCATCGTTCGATGAGACTTTTTTTCGATCATTATTTGCACATGCAAAAAAAAACGCTTGGCGCTTGAGAAAATGTCCGATGCTCAAAAGTAAAGCATGTTTTTTTTGTGAACGACGATGATAACACGTGCAGAAGATCGATAAAATCAATGAAAATAATTGAATATTCTGATGTACTTTGATATGCTTGCTAATTGCTAAGAGATCACTTGGATGAGGAACAAAAGTTTTTTTTGGACACAAAATGACTACGCCAATCTACCCAGATAACCATGCACACTTCAAGGTGTGTCCGTGTCAGGTTGTACAAAATTGCAGTGTGCTGGTTCGCGACAATCACGTATAGAATACCGCAATCATTGCACTTTATAGTAACCTCACAAAGTTATCATTCTTTTGGTATTGTTATTCTTACTGCTTACTCATCACTCACACTCGCCAACTGGACACAGATAAATTCAAGTAAACAAAAGGCATGTCTTAATCACAATTTCTAAAAATTCAATTGTTCCTGTGCTACTTTTGTCAAACTGAAGTAACGTAACTCACTCATAAAAAAGGATAAAACGAATCACTTGAACATTGCCACTTTCTTGACGTGCGATAAGAATAGAACATTACTGATTATAAATTAGTGAATGATCAAATGCATGTTGAAACGTACCCTCACAATGACTTTCTCGGACTGATACGCCTGCACAACAGGATCGAGCCCATCGGCAGTGCATGCAATCAAACGTACAACCAACAGAAAATATTTCTGATCTGGATTTGGTCGGCCATTTTTGCGTTGATTGTTCATTGTTGTTTCAGAGAAATGCAATCGTGGTACCGTCACTTTGGTCATCCGTCGCTCGTGAATTTCGAGGCTGCAGTGATGATCAAACAATATATTTTATCAGAACATGACAATTAATCTATCAGCTCGTAAAATAAATCACTCTCCTATTACATGACTTTACTACCAAATAAAAATGACTGATTATAGATACAACACAAAGAGATGAAATGAAAACTAACGAGACTGGATCGTGAGGAACGGGTCTTCGATCAGTGGTTGATTGCTTGATTTGAATCTCTGATGATGGCATTTCACTTTTCACCCCGCAAAATGCCAACTTGAATTCAGTTATCAACTTTAATTCGTTACCAACTTTTACGAAGCTTGGAGGATGACTGTCGATGGCTTCAATGTGAACTGAGATCTGTAATCAAAATCAAAATTCATAAGAACCTAAAATTGCTGTAAGAATCATTTGTGACGGAAAATTTGCCAATTATCGACATAATCACAGAATTTCTGAAGCGTCAAATTGTAACGCAGCTTTATATTCGATTTATGAGCAACTCAACACAGAATCAGTTCTGTAAGTATATTAAAAGAACAAGAGGCGAACGTACTTGGAAGTGATTCTTCTTTTGATTCACGAAACAACTGTCCATATTGCTGTAATTAAAACCTTTATCAGCGACCACATGCATCTCAAGTTGATGCAGTGGACGTTGGTTGACGTCAAATAACGGTGCCCATTGTTCTTCATTGAAGCGACTAAACTTGATTGCTTGCTGATGGAATGCATCATCGAATTCATCGGTAGTCACCGGTGATGGTACTATTGATAGTTGACTTGGTAAAGAATAAATTTTTTGTGGTTCATTCTTTATGTGCGCTGCATTATTGGACGGATGCGTATCAGTACGTAAACGTTTTCGATTCGTGGCTGCATCTGCGTTGTTTTGTGGGCTGATCTCGTTCACATTATTCATCATGTTCGTATACGGATCAACTTGATAGCCGTTATTCTGAATCATATATCCACCACTGTTCACTTGACGTATATTCGCCGAAGATGGAGATGTCTAAATACTTTTTCACTGACGTGCCTTTCATCTCAGATAAAGAATGGAATAATGATAAAATATGCTTATTAATGGTAACCTGGGGTAATGGAGCAGGTGTTGATTGTGCTGTGTATGCACCCATGAAATCAGACTGTGGAGACGGTAACGTATGTTGTAGAATACGATTACCTAGCTGATGGCTTTGAGTGATCAATTCTTGAGGCATCAGCATTTGAGTGGCTACATCGGGCGGCACACCAAGAATTAAACCGTTCCCGTTTGACTGATTACCATGAACAACTGAAAATAATCATCCCATATAGATGCTGCCATTTATTCACTCATCCTAGTATTCATCAAATAGTTGAATTAAACTGCTATACTTACACCATTTCTTTCTCCATCCTCCAGGAACAAAAATCGATTTATTTTCAGCATCTTTATTCTTATTGGGACTCACCTGATCGTTTTTATACAAACAATCAACAACTTCACATCGTTTAGTGTAAACAATACTTGTAAACCGCGCACCTCTTTATAAATTATGACTACATCATTGAATAAAATAAAGACAAACGATTGACTCTACCCTGATAATTTTGATAAGTATCTGGAGAATATGGTGAATCAGACGCTGAACTGGGCGATCCAGACGACCCAGCACCACTAATGTCGGTTATTGGTGGGCTATCGGGAAGCCTATAAAGCAAGCAAGAATGGTGATATAGTGATAAACAACCAACCGAACGGAAGGAAATTTTCAAACTCAGGTTTTATGCAATTTTAGAATGACATTATCTGATGGAGTTAGAAGTTAATTCAAAAAATGAATGACTGAGGTTGTACTTTCTAATGCGAACCGTTTGGAATATATAAGTGTCCACCTAATGAACGAAGCAATCGATATGAATTCGAGTGAATCACCAATCAAAATTCGTGGTTCTTTTCGGGTGAATTATTTAGACTCTTAGATAAATCACTAGATTTATTTCAAGAGCTCTAGCATAATAAATTTAAAAAGTACCGTGCAGGATTTTGATACATCATCTCGTTAATAGGATCTGGAACGGTAGTATTGTTTCGACCCTGAACCTGGTGCAAAGGAATGCGAGTGGAATCTACTGGACTATCGACTGGTGTGCTGAATTAATGAATAATTAGAAAAAAAACTCGTGTCAGTCCGTGTTCCGGAGCAAACTCTGTGTTCGAATAATTGCATCACCTCAAAAAAATCTAATGTTTTCACATACGAAGCTTTTTCTTTGAATATAATCGTATACACTTTCAAAACAAAAACCGTGCTTTCACTGTAAACTTCAACAAATTTCCACCGCATCCGGAACGGATACGAGGAAATTACTTTCTTCAAGTGGCATATCTATTCACTGAACACGCCATATGTAGCCAGAAGTTTTCCCGGATGCTAAGAGCGAAAGAGATGCTACTGGGATTAGTTGACCAAATCAATACAGCCATACGTCAACAATTTTGTAGAACAAGTAGACATGTGCTTGAAGGGTGAAACTTACTCGCTATCGTCAAGGAACTGTAGAATGTTGAAATCTCCTGTGCAATCACTCAACGGATCGCTATAAGCCGATTCTTCTGCAATACCTGTGTATGATTATTTCATATCCATTCGAAGAAAAACAACAAGCAATGCACATGTGATGCTATTTGCAAATAAGTTAACGAAAACAACTTTTAAAAAAATGATCATGCTACAAAAATCAACTGATAATAAGAAGCACCTTTTGAATAGGCAAATTTTCGTTTAGCCATACAGTAATCGCATTTGTGGAAAACAGCAAAATTTTATAAGAATTTTGGTGGGTATCACTCACTCAAATTGAATATCCAACAACAGTAGCAAGCAAAGATGAATACTGAATATGAATGTGTATTACTGAATATAATAACAAGATTCGTTCAAAAAACAGAGTTCTTCTGTGATAATATATGGTGATAAGCGCAACGGATCGATGCAAGGATGTACAAATGCGAATCAACCACAGCAATACCACAGCAACACTCAGTCTACTAAACGTCCATCGCGCGCTGCTCAATGCTCAACGATTCTTCCTCTCTCTCCGTCCGTACCAGGCTGTGTCCTCCACCTTAAAACAACCAAATGCCGGCCGTTTCTCTGTGAAATACCGTCTATTGAAAGCACACACTCTCTTACCCTATCTCATAAGTTTGATTCGCTTTAATCTAGTACAAACTGGTATTGACGTCATTTAATATATAAATATAACATAAAATACCTTTTCGATTATGAGTGCAACGATTATCACTGAAATTTGTTGACCACTAGTAATTGATTGGGCAGCTGATATTATTCATTGATTCATTCTCAGTACTGACCATTTAACACTGCTTTGTGGTAGCCCTTCTTCAGCTGGTCACAATGCGGCTGAGTATGGTACTTACAATTACCTTCCCTTGTTCGAATGGCCTCGGAATTTTTGTATGAATCGCAAAACAGCTTACATTTTTGTGTTTCATAAATGGAGCAATTCTTTCAGCGTATCTTTTTTGCTCTAAACTGAGACAATACGATCGCTTAGAGTAACCTAAGTTTGGATCAGCAGCAGTCAGCTGCAGCCGAACTCAACTGCGTAAATCCCTCTTCTGCGTATGCTCAATAAACAGAAATGATCTAGACAGAGACATTATTCAGCCTTCATGACTCGAATACATGCCTTCAGATGCCACTTCTTGAACAATCTACATTTATCACACATGCTAATTCACTTTCAAGTAAAATAAAATTTTCGTCATAGCACATTGTTTCAACTCAGTCACATATTTACCGATGTCTAGTCATAACTACATTGAACAGACACTCGTTATCAACTAATTAAATTTGTTCATTGAACCTCTGATTCAGTATCGCTCAGTCCGTTTCATCGAAGCATCGCAACAATACTCCTCAGTTGCCACAATTATTTTCCACTTTTAAGCAACACAAGCTTTCAAAATTATGCTCAGCTGTTATTTTCTCGGTTTATCGCATCACTTAAATATTTGAGATAACCGTTCGCCTAGTCACGTGCGAAAGGACGCATGAAGTGCTACCTATGAATCACACTATTGCACCCACTTTCAAATGTCGGTCGGTCGTCTGACAGTGAATATTTCATTCGTATGATTGATACTTATATTCTTGAAAAGCGATTTGATAATGAGTGTTTCTTGATTCAGTTGATGCATTCAAAAAGCAACCAAAATGTCCGGCAGCAGACAGCTGACCTCGTTTCGAAGGGACGCATAGATGTGCCCGTAAAATGCTGCACACGAAGATAAATCTATGATGCATGTATATCTGCATTAACAAAGCAACTCGTCATCCACCTTCGCACAACTTCCCTTCCTTCCCCTAACAACAAACGAAATTGAATCTCAATCAAGGTCAACGTTGAAATGAGCTTATTTGCATGCAGTGCAGTTCTTCACTACAGCAATTATTAGTATTTGAGCAGTTAGAACACCGAACAACTTCAATTTTCAAATGTGAAGTGATAAGACTTTTTTATCAAAAGAAAACATTAATAAATAACAACTCATAACCAAATTACAATGGAGGCGACACTTTGGCATGAGCGGAAACAATGCTAGATGATCGATCAGACGATGTTCAGAACACCCGTTTTACAATAAACACTGAAAATACGAACACATATACAAACACTTCACAAACGAAACAATTAAATAAACAGTGTTCTTCTGTTCTCAATACTATCAGTGCAATAATAATTTCTATTACAGTTACTGTCGTCACTGCTGAGTGCTAACAGCAACAATTCGGTAAACAAGTCCGTAAAGTCGGTGTACCAAATAACGACAACAATTAAGAAAATGAACGTCTTAGCGGAGCACTGCAACCATTATTCAAGAGAAAGAACATTTATGCTAATGAAATAAACGATTGGCGATTTACTTTGATTATCACATTTCAATCTGATTCGCTCCAACGATTACTTTTAGCACGCCGTCTCCATTCTCTTTCGTATTTCTCTCTATTTCTTCCACTCGTTTAACGCGTCCCCTTCTTCAGTACACTAATGTAAGCTTCAAAAATCTTTTTACAGTCCACGTATATACTATTTTCTGCAGAATTTTTCACTTAATCTCAATTCTTACCACTATGAATTTAAAAATTTAGATTCATAGTCATTCTTTGACTAACAAATGTCGGAACTACTTTCACGTTGAGGTCGAAATAGTCATGAACCAGACGACCGCGTTTCGATTATTTCCCATTAACGCAAAATATCCACTCTGTGATAAAAATAATCACACGATCACAATAATAATGATCCCGCCTCCATGACCAGCGAAGTCATAATTTATTAAGCATCACTATCCCAGCCAGTCCAATCGTTCCTGCAACAGTTAAAGGCGTACAATGCTACAACTGAATCCATTGCTAGAATGAAGAAAAAATCGACATCTACTACAAAAATTGCGCAAATATTCGAAGGTTGCGCTGAANCCAAGAACCATTCATTGCCTTCTTCATGTCTTTGTTCAATTCCGTTCGTGTAGTGCCCGGAAAATTTGAAGGCGTGCAGAGTTACTGATTGATTTACGGTTGAAATAGATCTGAAGAGCCGGATACGACTTGCGAAACTTTTTCTAATCGCCACAGCATGGAGCCTTCCTTTATCAGACGACGATGTTCAGTACGATAGCATTTGAACTATAACTGCTTGCAATCCATGCCATTCTAGGTAAAAATTTGGTGGGGAAAAAACTGTCATAATTTTGCATCCCATCATCCACTTAAACGAGCAAAAACATAAAATATGCAATGGATAATGCTTTTACGAAAGCTAGCGCCGCTAGTTGGCAACTGGATGGGTTGGGATCAAACACTCAGACAAAATGTGCAACTTTATATGATGCACAATTTATTATAACAACACCAATCCAACTGCTATCAAACTGCACTATGAGAGTAATCTCTTCGAGTCACCCTTGTAGCAACTCAACTGTTTGTGATGAACGGTTCAGTCGAAATTCACACATTCACTGCTGTATCCATAGGATTTCTCATACTTTACAATTAATTTCACGAAGCTCAAACTGTTCCTATCTGAATGAATTGTCAGTATAATTATCGTCCACGCTAGGCGTCAGAGCTCCGTATCTTCAATTTTGTACTACACATGCACAGCTTTCGGCATCGTCATACAGTGGAGATTCGGACTGACAAGAAAAACATATGTTTTGACGGACGATTATGATTGCTTCTATGAATATATTCATGGTATGACATAGTAATACGTGCAACGTCAGTCATTTCGTTTTATCATTGCGATTGCAGTAACATTAAGAACGCTTCATTTGATTATAACGTAGAGATGTATTAGCATTGGATGGATGGTGAAATCATTGACATTTTGATTTGGTATTATCCACAGATGGACAATGGCGCGCTATTCCGCTATTACGTTACTAGTGGAATAGCGATGGCAAATAGCGCGCTATCGTGTTCAAATAGTGGTATTTTACAGCGATAGCTTCCGTTATTGTCGTTGGATACCGCTTCGGCG